GAAAATGATAAACAAACCCATTTTGCCCCACGGTTTTCATAATCAGCGGCAGGGAGGGGTCAATTTGGGAAATAGGTAACAGGCCCATTTTGCCCCACTGTTTTCCTACTGAGCGTGGGGGGAGATCAATCTGCGAACTGGCTCACAGACCCATTTTGCCCCATTTGTATTTTTTTCTAACTAGCGTATGAGGCCGTAGCCTTCGGTGTGGTATAACATAATATATATATATATATATATATATATATATACTGGGTGTCCCGTAACCGATCACTTTCCTCGGAGGGTATTGTAGAGGATGATTTTTGGAATCGAAAGTTCCCCTTCGGTTTTTGGATCAGGCCATTTTTTTTTTGGATTTTGATTTTTTAATGTTGTCTGACTTTTTATTTTTTTAATTCTGTTACTACTTATTCCAGGGCCGAAAAAGATTTTTTCAAAATGTTCATATTAAAAAAAAATTGGTTTTTTATGTAGTACATCGTCACCTACCCACTCCACCCCTTCCGGCCCATTATCGCGGAGAATTAATTTCAAAAAAACTTAAATTAAGAAACCGAAGAATTTTTTTTTCTTTTATTTCCAGTAGGTCTCGATCGCGTGTCTCATTGCCGACATCGAAAAATAAGAAAAACAAATAAGAAAAAGATTGCTATTTTAATTTCTTTTTTGAGTTTTGGAAAATATTTTGGACGCGTGACGATAAAGATGGAGAGGTTGTGAGTCGATGGGAAGATTGATGAATGACTTGTCAGATTACTGACATGAAAAAAACCAAAAACAAAGGAAAAAAAATTATAATTCGACTTTTATTTGTTTTCTGGTTTCGGAAAATGATTTTGGAGGCGCAGCAATGAAAAAAAAATGGTTGTGAGTTGATGAGAGGATAAATGGATGATGTGTCAGATTACTGAGATAAGGAAAAAACGAAAAACAAAATAAAAAATTATAACTCCAATTTTAATATCCTTTTTTGATTTTGGAAATGATTTTGGACGCGCGGCGATGGAGATAGGAGGTTTATGAGTCGGTGGGAGGATTGATAGATGACATGACGATGATCGACATAAGAAAAATGAAAAATAAAACAATAATTCAACTTTTGATTTTTTTTTTGGCGTTTTGGAAATTATTTTAAACGTGCGGCGATAATGGTTGGAGGTTTGTGAGTCTATGGGAGGATAGGTGGAGGACGTGCTCATAACCGACATAAGAAAAAACGAAAAACACAAGAAAAAGATTATAATAATTTCATTTTTAATTTCTTTTTTTGCTTTTGGAAATGATTTTGGACGCACGGCGATGAAGATGGGGGGTTTATGAGTAGATGAGAGGATAGATGACGTGCCTAATAACCGAAATGAAAAGAAAAACAATAAAAAAAAAATCAATTTCCTCTTTGGGTTTTGGAAATTGTTGTGGAAGAGTGTGGATAAGAATGGGGAGTTTGTAAGTGGATAGATGGGTGACAGGCCTAATGACCAAAGAAGAAGAAACCAGAGCAAAACTATTTTGTTCCGCTACGTTTTATTTTTGATGGCCCTGAGAAGGGCCGATTGTGAATGCAGCTCATGCTGGCAGATGCTGGAAATGGCCTCCTCCAGCAGCCACGCAGGCATGAATCCTTCGAAGGACATCCATCCTCACTCGTCGGAGCATCTCAGCACTGACATTGGTAGTGGCCGCATGCAGTCGAGCCACCAATTTCTCCACGGTCTCCGGCTCGGTCTCGTAGACTTGGTCCTTTAGATAGCCCCAAAGGAAGAAGTCTAGCGGCGTCAAGTCCCGGGATCTAATGACAATGGAAATTCATTATTTTCCGGAACACTTTATTTTTCTCGAGTAATCTTACCGTGCAGGCCAGTGAAGTGGGCCATAACGACCGAACCAACGTCCAGGGAACTGAGCATTTAAAAAGGCGGTGACGTCGCGAGCACAGTGAAGGGGTGCTCCATCCTACTGGAACCACCGAGGTCTACCTGCAAGTGGTACATCGTCCAGCATTTCAGGAAGAGTCTGCGTGATTAATGCGAGGTACTGTTGACCCTGAAGAAAAACAAAAATGGAAAAAAATCATTATTTTGCCGCCTCGATGTCGTATGTGTGCGAATGCGGGCTTGATGAATACTCACATTCACATAATCCGGTAGCTGGGAAAGTAGGACTCGGTCACCCACTATTCCTCCCCACACGTTCACTTTCCACCGTGACTGAAAACTTTTTTCCCTCACCGAGTGAGGATTTTCAACAGCATAATTATGTAAATTATGCTGATTGAAAATGCCTTCTCTCGTAAACAGACTTTCGTCTGTCCACAGGATTTGGGATAAAAAGTTTTCATTCCGGTAATACAAGGCTAGAAACTCTTGACAGTAGTGCAGGCGCTGCCCTGCATCTCCTGGCTCGAGTTTCTGAACTCGTGTGGAGTGGAACGGATGGAGAAAATTCTCCCGCAGGATCCTATTCACTGTCGACTTCGGGCAGCCCATCGCGCTCTCGATTCTCCGACAACTCGTTGTCGGGTCTTCGTCTACGCGTGCCAAGACTACTTCCTCGACGTCACAATGTCGTTGACGTCCAGCTCCGTGACCTGGTGGCACCACCTGATTCTCTCGCATGCGCTTATCCACAGCCAGGAACACTTGTGGATAAGGATGTCGTCGTTGAGGGTATTTCGTGCGATACCTCCTCGCTGCCTCTGCTGCGTCACACCCACAAGCACCATACACGAGGTGCATATCAGCGTATTCGATAGCTGTGTAACTCTCCATGATTTAACACTT